TCTCCTTGTCATACTGAAATTGAGGATTTAGAAAATATGCTGCTGCATGAATGCCTTGTCCTAACTGAGTATCCCATCTTCTTTTTACTATACTGGTGAATGGCTTATATAATCTTTTAACATTTTTAAACATAGCTTTGATTGCCTTCCGTGCCCTATACATTCCATCATATAAATAACCAAGTGATGGCTTCTCATCTGAGTCCACAATGCGCAACAACCTGATCAAAGGACCTGCTATCTTTGAAATTGTTAAACAATCATTCCAAAACTTTAAATCTAAGATAATTGCAGCTGCTTCTTTCCCCTTACAGGTTTTGGCTATCTTTGAATCTGTATAAAACTTACTTGTAATTAAAGCTTGTAGATCATGTTTATGCTCACATACACTCTTTAAGGTTATGAAAGTTGTGGCAAACTGTGTGCCTCCTGGACGCACAATCTCCTTCCTACCTTGCCTTTTCCTAAGCCAAGCAAGTACATAAACATGATTATAAGCAAAAATCGTCACCATTGATGCTTTCTTTGCCAAGTCCTCTATGAGAGGCATGCTGCCCAAGTCTTTGAAAATTAAATTTAAACAGTGTGCAGCACAAGGTGACCAATAAATATTATTGAATCTAGCTTTTAAGAGCTCGCCTGCTTTCTTGTAATTAGCAGCATTATCGGTAACAAGCTGAACAATATTTTAATAAGATTTATTATACAATCCTTAATGATATGAAATGGAATGTATTAGAAGTCTGGCTAATATGATATGAAACATTGACAAACAAGAAGTGATGACCTCTTACATGAAATCCAATTGACTTGTGATATGTCATATGAGACTAATACCTAAAACAAAACCAATATTAGTAAGACTAATTTCTATAGGGTTGGCCTACAGAACTGGATACAAGAGAAACACAACAAGTAGTTAGGTGTCTAATCTTGCTTTCATATTGATGTGATATAAAAATTTATTATATATAATATAAGTGATATATATTATAATATGATAAGAATATGAAACATGATATGTCTAATAAGACTGATACAAAGGCATATGATAACTATAAATTATGTGATGTACATCTTTTCTATAGGGTTGGCCTACAGAACTGGATACAAGAGAAACACAATAAGTAGTTAGGTGTCTAATCTTACTTTCATATTGATATGATATAAAAATATATTATATATAATATAAGTGATATATATTATAATATGATAAGAATATGAAACATGATATGTCTAATAAGACATAATAAGACTAATATGGCTAATAAGACTGATATAAAGGCATATGATAGCTATAAATTATGTGATGTACATCTCACATTATATTTAATATGATGATTTCATACATGATACAATACATGATATACATGCATAGAATATATAGAGCAAGCTTACTTAATATGTCAAGTATATTGATACATATGATATAACATATAGAATGAAATATAGTATAATTTACTGATATACATAGATTCATAACAGACCTGTTGCATTGTACTTAACATGAGTATAGGAATGACAGAATTCAGTAACACTTTATATGGCTACTAATAACTGATTATGAAATATATTGCACATTAATTTTTATTACTCATATGAGATGGCACTGTTTACATTGATTAATATATGTTTTTATAGTTATGTGTTCATATTGATATGGATTGAATGATTACATGCATATTGCTTTCTACTAACATACATTAATTGCAATTGTAGGTGATGATAACCTAATGAGCTATTAGCTCATTATGTAGTTTTTACATATTTTTAAATCCAATAAAGTGAGATAGATTAGGATTTTTTAGGTTTTATTTATTTTGTATATTTTTTATTCTCTTGTAACTAGGAGTAGAGTGGTAAGTTGATGTAGTGATGGATCTTCTAGCTATTATAAATTGTATTTAATGAAAAAATATAGAAATATTTTGATTTGTATAATTTATAGATGCTTCCAGTGGACTTATTTATATTAATGGATTATTAAAAGCTATAGTAGACTAATTGATATTTTAAAATAGTCAGTTCTTCCAAATGTAGATAATGGGGTGTCTATTATCCAACCTCCACCAAGTAAATCTTGAATTATTTATTTCTTATGAGATGTTTACCAACCTTTGATTATTTTTTCATGAACATTCTATCAATTTGTCAAAATTCCATGCGAGGTTTCTTCTTTGTTTGAACTTGATGAGTCCTCAAGTGTTGGGCTTAATGAGGATATAAATGATGCTTTCAACTAAGACATAAGATCTTTTTCGAGAAAAAACCAATGAATTATAAGTGGAAAGGCGGTGAAGTTATTGAAAATTGGTGAGAGCTCTACCTTTGGACGTAAGAAATTTGATAGGATTGAAAGTTGGTTGAACAAATTGTAACAATTATAAATATTTTTTGTTAAAATTGAATTATATAACAACCCTTTATTGAGTACACTGAGAGAGTCGATGTTGGCTTGCAAGAAAGAATTGAAGAAGAGGTGATGTGACTTGAGGCAAAAAAATGAAGCACAAGTTGCCAAAATGCTAAGTAAAAGTTTTAAATGACTCAGTTAATACAATATATTGCAAAAAGAATTTGACATCTTATTTTTATTTCATTAGGAAAGAAATGTTGAGTTGAAAAATTAGCAGGGTAACGAATGAAGATAAGCGAACCATATTGAGCACTATATATATATATATATGAAAGACAAATTTCCCATTTTGAATGATAGAAGTAAGGATATCCTCAATAGATAGATTAAACAAACTATAACATTTAGCCACAAAATTTTCTTATTAAATTGACCATTAATCCATAAGTTCATAAAAAGAGACATAACAGAATGACCCCTAATACTAAGGATATTAAGTACTACATAATATTACAAATAGGTATTAGCTCTCTCTAGTTGCAAGAGTTGAAAAAATATTGTATAGATAGAGAGAACTTAAATGCCTCCTTAATATCCAAAGTTGGACATAGGATGATAAGTTGCTCAATATAGGAACCATGAATAGTTTATTTGACATTGTAGAACAAGAGGTGATTGCCAATGACTCCTAGTTATTATAAAGAGAGGGAAAGAAAGAAATCATTTTTTTTCTAGAAATCTTAATAAAGCTATTGACAATATTCTAAAAATGGATGATCTTCTTAATAAAATGTTTGCTTACACATGTATTTGATAGAATAATAAAGAAAGCCTAAATCAACATCTCTCTTTGACATCCAATCCTTAGATAGAACCATATATAAATAGCAATGATTTTGATATTTCAATAAGTGAACCCAAAAATGTTTCCTTCCAAGATTAACATTAAAAATATACATAAGATAACAAGGAAATTGAAAGAACCCTAGAAAATAAGCTGCTTGTGAATCAGTTGAAACATAATACCAAAATTAGAGATTAAAATTCCCGAAGGTTGCATTTTCTCATATTCTTCCCATAAAGGGAGCATTAAAAATTGTTGTAGTTGTTTACATCATAGATTAAAATTATCCTCCTATTTAAAATAGTATTAAATAGATATTTATTGCATAATTTGATTTCCAAAAAGGTTAATAACATATTACAAAAGTCTCATAACAACTTCATACAGTCCAAAACATATCCTCCCCATTAAAGTCCCTTACATATATGTAATGCTTGGGTAGAACAAAAAGTTAAAATATGTTATCATTTTTTATTATAAATTTTTATTCTCTTAGAAAAAAAAGGGACCTTATTTGGAGAGTGATAATTTTTGCTTCTCCATGTTTTATATTTGAGAGGGATAATTTTTGTTAGGTCTTTAATTATAGTGAAAGGTGACACTCAAATAAACAATGATTATGGAGGGTTTTGATTCTATCAGAAGGGAGGAAAAATTAGTTTGGCAATGTTTTCGTCCAAGAGGCATGAGAAGATGTAAGTGTTGAAGTTGGTGGATTGTATTGATATGGAAGATGGCTTTATAGAAGAAACCATAAATTATTGCTTTGAAGTAGTAAGGTGAGGCTATTTTGCATATAAAATTAGTAACTTGGGATCTCCTTAAAGATAGTGCTTTACTCTTAAATGTTCCTCTAATAATAATTTTGAATGTAAAGTATTCATACACATTATATTTTTAAAGAAAATTTTCTTTAATTAAAATATCATATAACTAAAAAAATATATAAAATGAGAAGTGCTCATTGTACTAACTCAAAAGAATATATTTTTAAAATTTTTATAAAAAGGATTTAATGCTACAATCTTTCTAAGACAGAAGGCAGAATCACTAAGCTGTGCATCTAACAACATGTAAATTTACAGGGAAAAATTATGCTTGAAGCTTTGGATTATATTTGGAAAAATTGTGTAAGATAAATGAATGAAATTTAAAAATATTAGTTCCAAAATATAAAATATTTATATAAAAACAATAAGATAACTGTCTTGCACCACAAAATCAATTTCAAATTTGTTATTTGTTGCATAGCAAACTATGTTTTCTTGTCATTAGGATCAAGTAATTTATATTTTGTTCATTGATGCCATACCTGTAATTCGGAAAAAGAAAAAAAAACATGTGATCATCACATAATTCAAATTAAAAATCAAAATTAAAAATATTACTAACAAAATTAAATAAATCTCTTGTATCATAATCAAAGCTCACTAGTCAAACACATGCTATGATATTGTTTAGAAATTTTGTTTACTAAGCTAAAAGAATGGTTCACATAATGTAGTAGTGCAAAGTAGTAATATATCTTAATATAGTGAAAAAGGTTGAAACCTTTCCCCACTAGAAAAGTTAGATCAACTTCATGATTCAACTCATCATCATTCCACTCTCTCAGGTCTCTCCTTGTCTTGTTTCAGCTCTTTTCCTTTCAACTTTTTCAATCTCAAATCTCTCACAAAGCCAATCCCTGATAAAGACCGACAGAGCACAATTAAACAAACAGGTAGGCGTCTATTCCCATGCCCGGCGGCCCACTCTAATCTAGTATTCTTCAGTATCCTATCGCAATACTAGCGTACTCTCCTTGGCCCATTTGATGCCTATCCATGGCCGACCAAATGTTAAACAGAGAGAGAGAGAGAGAGCGTGAAAGCTATTGACATCTCATGACTTGGGAAGAAGCTAGGCTTCGTCGCAGAAACCAATCTACTGCCTTTAGTTCTTCAGGTAGGCTTGCTTGTTTTCTCATGTTCTTCATTTGGATTCACACACAGAAGTTGGTAAGGATATACAGAGAGAGAGAGAGAGAGATTCAAAGCTGAAGTTGAATCAAGTTCCTTTCTTTCTCCCGTTCTCTCACATTAATGCGTCCTTCTTCTATCTCCAGCAATGTCTGGCGATCCAAACCATAACCTAAATCCCCAGCCGCCGCCGCCCAAGAAGAAGAGAAACCTCCCCGGAAATCCAGGTTTGTTTTGCTACTGAAAATGATTTGTTTCCTCTACATCTTCCAAAACTCGAACTTTTTTTTTCCACAGATCCTGACGCGGAGGTAATCGCTCTATCACCAGCAACGCTAATGGCGCCAAACCGCTTCGTCTGCGAGATCTGCAACAGAGGGTTCCAACGTGAGCAGAACCTTCAGCTCCACCGGCGCGGGCATAACTTACCTTGGAAGCTCCGGCAGCACCCACTGGGCGGACCGCCGGCCCGAAAACGAGTGTACGTCTGTCCCGAGCCCAGCTGCGTCAACCATGACCCGGCACGCGCCCTCGGCGACCTCACCGGCATTAAGAAACACTTCAGCAGAAAGCACGGGGAGAAGAAGTGGAAGTGCGAGCGATGCGGGAAGCGTTACGCCGTCCAGTCCGATCACAAGGCCCATACCAAGACCTGTGGGTCCCGCGAGTACCGCTGCGATTGCGGCACACTTTTCTCTCGCAAGGATAGCTTCGTCACCCACCGCGCTTTCTGCGACGCACTTACTCAAGAAACAGCCGCCGTTGTCGGCGGCGGCGGCGGCACCGAATGTTTGAGCTATGCATCGGATGAGACGCCGAAAGAGGAGGTCTCTCTGCGTCGACATAACCGGTCGGAGATGGCGCCGGCTACGGCGGCGGCTTATATGTCGGCGACAGCATTGCTACAGAAGGCGGCAGAGATGGGGGCGACGGCGAGCGGGGGGGCGTCCTCGGTGTTTTTCACGGGGCTTCTGCGGTCGACGAAGGGGAGTTGGAGCGGCGAGCTGGGGAAGGGGAAGGGGAAGACGAGGGATTTTTTGGGACTGGGTGGAGAGGGTGGTGGTCGCCGGAGTATGGAGGAGATGGCGAGGTTTACTTCCTTGGGTTCGGGAATGGAGTTTATGGGCGCTAGTTCGTCCTACAATGCTGCAGGTTATAATTAATTAATTGATTAATCAAGCTTTATTCCAAAGTTTGTTTTTTTTATGCGACTGTGGAGTGATCTTTTCCGATTTCTCCATTTGCGTTATCTGATCGGAGGAGAAGGTCGCTGTGTTGTTTGATTGTCGACATGGAGAGGAGATGAAAGCAGGACTTTATTCATTCTAAATTAAACCTCTCATCTGAGTTAAAATAGGGGGAGAAGCTCTTTAGGATTCATTTGATGGTGGCTGCAAGCCTGCAACATAAACGTAGAGTTTATAAGGAAGAAGTATATATTTTTTGTTTGAAGTTATTATGAGTGGCAGAAAAACTATCTGAAATGAACCCTTAAAGAGCAACAGAGATAGGAGTTGAAGATCTGTGTGTAAATGCTGTTCGTTTAAAGAATCTAGCGATTTTTAATTTTTATAGAGATGTTGAAAAAACCATCTGAAATGAACTACTGAATTCAGGCAGATTTTATCCTATTCGGCTGCAAATTATTTGAAAGTTCCATTTCAACTGAATAGATTCAGCTGTTGTATCCAAGGCAGTGAGTGCTTCAAGGTTTTGAAACTACTTTTTCAGATAAATCTAAATTTTTTACTTGACCTGAAAAGAAGTCTCATTCATCAAAATAAATGCCACTTACAAAAGACAAGATGCATCTATTTGAATATTTTGTAAGGATCTTCATACCAGTGGAAAATGAAAGGACTTGACATTTATCTAATTATAGTGGAAGAATTTGAACAGCTACTTAATGATGCGACTAGCCGTTGTAGCTGTTGCTTAATAGAGGGACGGAGGTATATATCTAATTTGACTTCAACTAAACAAAACACTAATATACATAACTATTTCTATCAACAACATAAAAATATATTTAAAAGAATGAAAATAGATCCAATAATATTAGAAAAAATATTACAAGATCAACTGTCAAATTATTTTATAAGATTCTAAACCGACATTCATAAAGTAGAAAAAATATAAATATTTTCCTCCATGTCCTCGCTTTCTTCAGCTACTTCATCCTATTGCTGACATTGTTGCAGCTCCATGAAACTGTGTAACTCAGCTCTTATTTGTGGTTGCATCTCATCCTTCATTTATCACATATGTCCATTCATTTCAACTGTTTGTGCAACAAAATTTCAACTACAACTACTCTTCAATATTATTGTCTGTGAAGTCTGTTTTATAGGAGGATTGAGCTTCATATGCATAGGCTTGTTAGCCTAAGCCATAGACCCTCCCCTTCCACATTCCTCCTAGTTCTTGGGACCATAAATTATAATTCGACTATTGTGTTGATGTAGTAGATGATCCCTATGTAACACCTCTAGGTTCAATGAACTGTTCAATCCGATCTGATCCTAAAAGTTTGGTAATTTATTATTATTTTTTTGTGTTTGAACTCTTTTGCATGAGTCTAAAATGATTTGTATGCTTGCAAAAAAAGTTTGCATGTATTTTAGAGGTCTGAATGCATGTTTTTGAAATTTAAAAATTTCCTCCTAGAGCACTTCACCGCTGTGTTTCAGACACCCCGATGCTAGGCCAATTTCTACTGATAAATATATTTTTCTACTAGCCATTTCATTCAATCATTTTGGGTAGCTGACCAAAGAGGGATTTTGAGAGGGAGAGGGAGATTTCAGTAGCTTCGGGTCATTTTTACTTGTCGGTCTAGTTCTGAAAGTTGTCCGGATTGAGGTAGGCACACTATACCATTTCGGTAGCTTCGGGTCGTATGTTTCCTTAGCAAATTTATCCTTATTTATCAATAACAAAAAGTGATTGTCAAAACGTCGTCTTTCTTTGACGAATTTCGACGTTTTCTCCGTTAGTATTTCCAGTGAAAACGTACGTCGGAAAAATTGGCGGATAATCCGCCACCACAATCTGACAGACTATTAACGACGAATATTACCGGCGAAAAAAAGCCGGTATTTCCAGCGTAAATATATGCCAGAAATACCACTTAATTTTGTTGTTTTCTGTTGCCGGTAGAGTTTTCGGTAGATATTCCGCCGGAAACATATAGCATAAAAAAATTTAAATGCCTTCTAGTATATAAAATTGATTTCTATACAAATATACATACAAAAATATCCAACAATATATACATTCAAACATCCACCACTAATTAAAAATATCACCAAATATTAAACATAAACATATAAACAATAATAAAAGTAAGAATAATATTATCAACAGATATCCAATAATAAACAAGTGCATATGTACAACAAAAACAAATAAATATATATGCCCAAAAACACATAATTACAGATGTTCAGAATAAAATAAATAATATATACTCTGAATAAGTCTCCTCCTCCTTTCCTGAAGTTGGACTCTTCCCACTGAACTGCTCCCTCATCTTTAGCATTTGCTATAACAATTGAGCATGATGCATCTGCATCTCTTACTGCATCTGCACCTGCTACTTGTGCATATACATCTGCTAGTCAGCTTGTGTTTTCCTAACATGCTCTAGCTCGGCTGTAAGGGCAGCTACCTGTTGGCTATAGAAAGCCTCATGTGTATTTATTAAGAAGCTGGAGCCACCATATGTCTGCCCCTCATATGCATAGGATTGCGAGCCTAAACCATATATTCTATCGTATTGCATTCCTCTTACCGCTTGCGATCAAGTGCGGTAGTCAGAATATTCTCCTGATCCACCAGAAGAACCTTCACTTGCTACAGCCTGGCTCTCTCGAAGTCGTGTATACTTCTTTAAAATTTAATAAAAATTTAAGTAATTTAGACTTGACATCAAAATATTAAACTTATATACTTATATAGGCTCTCCTAGCTCGCTCATCTACCCATTACTGGTCATCTTGACGCTTGTGGGTATGACTATAAAATTCAACAAGGGTCGATTCTCTACCTAATACCTATTTCTATAACATACATATATTATTATTCATATTAAAGTAAGTTATTAAAATCTTATAAAATTCCTTATCAAACATCGTATGTGCTCATTATGTAGAATTGAGCCCCCAGTATGAAGGGAACTATCATGCCCCAAGATTAGAAGATCTATTATATCTATTTTGGTCTCTTCTCCTGTTATACTTTATGCTACCCCAAGCACTATTCAACTCATCCTATGCACTCTCACCAATCCAAAGTGGTCACTTGCCCGACTTTCTAAATCTGTAAACATGTCTCACATGCGAGTCGACCCACGCTTCTCAAAATTCTTTTTAATTTTATCATTGTGCTAGGGCAACTAATAAAAATCTTTCTATATTTAAAAACATACAATATATAATATGTATTTTTGTTTGAATAAGTAAAAGAAATCGTACAAAATATATTAGTATAATTATTAACATCAAACTCTCTAAACCACAAGTCCCGCACTTCTTTTGGGACTTTCTTTCAAGAGACGTAAGGAGCATCATACCTACTTCGTATTATGTCCCGTATTTTATGTATCGATTATTTTGGCGAATGAAACCTACAAGAAATATGTTAGGTGTCAAAAAAATTTATTCAATTTTATTTACATGTTTAAAATATAATGAGTACATATATATCACCATCAAGTTCAATCAATATGCGACCATCTATCGCTAGCTCTTCTACAAATAGGTCGAAGGTCCAGCTATAGCGGGTAGCGGGTTAAGGAGGTGGTGGGGGATAGTATTATGGGACATACAATGGGTATAAATAAGCAGGAGGACCACCATAAGAAGGTGGGGGTGGGTAGTAAGGATAGAAGGGAGTACTCTACATGGCCTATAGCAAAGGAAAGTGGGGGTCTGGTGAGTATAACTATGGGCTACTAGCTACAGGAGTGGGTAAAGGCGGGGTAGGTTGACTCTGACTGGAAGGCTGAGATGTAGAGGTCCCCTTAGTACGTACAGACCTGCTGGCTGCACCACTAGTCGTCTTCTTGCTTTACCTATTAAATTTTTTTTTTTTATCAATCATCTGTTAGACTCATCACCTGAAGCCATCTGCCTAAAAATTTAAGAAATATTAGTAACATAAATTATTTAAAAAAAGTTAATATAAAATAACTCAGCAATTAAATAAATGAAGTTAAGCAATAATAAAATAAATAAACTAAGTATTTTCATGTTATTTAAATAAATAATGAAGTTACTGTAAATTTATTGATTCATAATTGATTGTCAAAAATTATTTATCTTATATCGATTCACTTTCACATGATGAAAATTCCTCGTCATGACTTTCTTTTATATTTAATCTACTTCCTCTAACTGCAACGCGCTCTTAGTAGTTGTAATTTGTTCGTTCACATTGTTAGCAAGATCTTTTAAATTTGATATAAATTCTTCTTGATGTGTTGATGGTATTGATGTGGTTCTTTCAATAACTCCCCTGGATTTTGTCTTCATAACTACGAGCCAATCTTGTTTGTCTCATAATCTAGTTGGATAGTTAGCAAAATAGACTTGGCTTGCTTGGCTAGCAATGATTAATAGGTCAAACTTGGAATATCTCCTACTCCGTTTAACTTCTGTTATAGCATAAAGCGGATGTATACTTGTACCTCTATTCTATACTAGATCGATCGACCAACAATTGAATAGATACACATTATTCCCATGAACAGGATATTCTAACTGTAATATTTCTTGTAATACCATGTAGTAATCAGAACCATCGCATTTATGGATATTCCCTCTCACACATACACCAGAATTTTTTGTTTTCCTACCTTCACACCAAAATTTTGTTTGAAATTTGTACCCATTAACCAAACAAATTGGATAACATTTCACAAGTCTATTTAGTCCCCAAGCAAGATCAATTAGCCCATAATATAGCAGTCACTACATTGAGTGTGCACCTAGTTAGTAGGCAAAATAACAAATTAGCATGTTTATTAACTAATTAAAGGCATATTAATTGTAATGAATAGTCGAAACATGTACCATATTTTTAAACAAATTAGAGAATTTTTTTTTCACTATCTTTTGGACTTCTACGGGTTCTGTTGTATTCAAACCATCAATGAAACTCTTGTAAATATTAAGCTTTATACTGAATTTATGAGTAACAAATTTATGTTGTCTTTGGATTTATCTTTAATATACATGACTGTATTGAATGTATTATTAGAAATATTTTTTTCTATATGCATCACGTCCAAGTTATGTCTGATTAGGTTTATTCTCTAATATGGTAATGACCAAAAAAATACTTTTTTTAGTCCAATTATGGTTGACACCATATCTTGGCAATTTGTAATCAGCTGATATTAGAGAATTCACTATTGTGGGCGACATTACCATTTTTTTAACAAAAGCATCCTTGTTTCGTCTGAAAGAATGATCTGTAGGTAAGAATATGCAATGGAAGTCAAACCAAGTATTCTTACTTCCATGCTTTAAAGTGAATAACTTTATATATTCTATATAATATGGACAAGCTAACTTGCCGGAAGGGTTCCAACTTTATAGAATACCATAC